CAATCGCTCGCGTTTCAAATGGTGCTGCGCAGTTGATGATCAATACTCCGTACTATGCAGGGTACAGAGGGCAAAGGACGCTGAATTCTTGACGGTTGTCAGCGACTGGTATGGGCGAGGTTGGGGCTCATACTTGCTTCCAACAGAGGCTCTCGACGCTGGGGGCTTTTAACACTGGGGGCTCTACAACTTACTTAATGCTTTGCTTGGAGCGGCCTATCTCTCGATGCTACGCGCCTTTGGCACACCACCCTTTGACAGCTATAGGGGCAGTCTTAGGGGCCACTGGCGTAGAGCCTTTCACAACGTGGAGTACTGCTGATCAGTCCACATGTGAGAGGCAAGGGCTAGGGACACTCTTGACAAAGATAGTGTTAGCGCCGCCCGTTGGCGGAAGGCATCATGATGCTTTGTGTGGACTGCTCTACTTCGCGTATTTCAGTCTATCAAGGAAGACCTTGCCTAGCGACGTTTGACCTGGGGAGTGCCCATTGGTTATGTTGCTAGTGGCAACTGATTGAGGGGCATCTTGAATGGCATTTGGTGGTGTTACAACACCTTGCGAACACGACTTCTGCTGAGAAGATGTTCTAGAGACTTTCATGTTTCAACAGCAGGCAGTACCTCAGACGACTACCTTGGGTTGGTACATAGTGCCGGCGCATCTAACGTACAGTGAATGAGCTCTAAACGGCGCTGTATGTGCATCTACGTCGTGGACTGGTTAGAACCCAATTGAGCTTACTGCAGCTAACGCACTTGCGACACCATCCTGTAAAGATGATGAATGCTTAACAGACCCCGCACTTCGCAGCACTAGCTCTGCTGATCATATGCGCCAAAACGTACTCCTCTGCACTAAAGCGTCATTAAAGCTAAACTCTAAGCTTAGCGCCGCTAGGATGTCAGATTTGCCGGCTAACGGACTTGTATAGCTGTCATGTAATTGGCTTCGCTATCTGCGGAGCTGCCAGCCAAGTTGGTCTTGATGCCCGTTCAGCTCTAATTAGATAGCGACTTGTTGGGGCAAGAGCTGCTTATAGGTTGCTGACGGCTGCAGTCCTTCAGCATCACAAAGCTTATCGGAACCCGCAGCACGCTACTGCTAGTGACAACTCACTGCGTAGTCATGTCCAACCTCTAGAGCATTTTGTCTCTTCACACTGCGTGGACAAGCTACCAATACGTTTGTACCAACTCAGTCTTTTGTGGGTGAAATGAACTCCAGCAGCGAACCAGACGAGCTGTCTACTACAGCAAACTCGCGACTTTTGCCAACAACCTTTGAACCGCCAAAGGCCAGAAATGGGCATATGAGGATACTAGAACCACACGGTCGCCGCAGGCGCCCTAAATCTGGGGACTTCAAACTGCTTGCGGCGTATGTAGCTGCCTACGTGGGTGTCCTCATCCCAAAGGAAGACTATAAGCAATTCGTAGATCCGCGAGGAGAAAGGGAATGGAAGAGGACAATTCGAGCAGCCTGCGATATAGAATGGCGTCTTCAAGACATCCGAGAGTTTGACGACATACCTCCACTAGAGTACAACATAATGAGAGAGTATGTTGCTTGTGCCTGGCCTTTGACCAAATACTTCGATGGCGGTTGGCTTATCAAATGGGCCCTACGAACTACATGGACAAACCGCAGGAAGGCCTGTCTCCGCTCTGATAAAGGTACGTCTCTTGCTATGTCTCAAGGCTTAGTCTGACACATAGCTTAGGCTTAAAGAAACGACAACAAGCTGCGGATAGGTCAACTTCCCCCAACGCAGACGACAATCTGTCACTGGCACAACGACCTCGTCGTACCCGAGCGTCAAAACTAGGTCAATCGCTGTATTGCGTGGGCGGTTGCCGGAGGATGCTCACGCTCGACCAGTTCCCTGAAAACCACGTTGGGGTATGCATGATGTGCAAAAGAGGTACCGACACTGCCTCACCACCACCTCGGCTGCAATCTTTGCCACTTCACGCCAGGCAAGACAGTGTCTCAGAACACGAGCAGTTAGGTCAGGAACAACCACAGTGGAATATCAGTCAGAGTGTGCAAAGGCGTTCAACCCCTTATTTGGCCCTTGCCAGTGGGAGGCCTTCCAGTTTCCATCGACAACAGAACCCTCACTCAGTGCTACCAGGCAGTGTCACTACATACTCTGACGCGGGCCAATATCCAAGCGGGAGGAGTACATATGGCGTGACCAAAATAAGCCAGAGGGGTTGCAGAGGGCGCACCAAGACTTCAACTCTCCCTAATCAAACATTCAACAATCTTCACAGTCAGGTGCCATGCGAAAGCGCAACAACTGGAAAACTGCAGGAGCTTAACGAACTTTTCCGCAGCCTATCACAGACTGAGTACAACAATTTCATCCGCAGCCTTAGTTGGGGTGTTCAAGAAGTAGAGCCACCCCAAAACCAACTGTTACGAGAGGTGGCGGTGGACAAGACAACGCAATCAACGTTAGAGACGCAAGACGAGGATTCCACAGCTGATGTCGCCTTATACCCTGTTACGTCAGCTGTTACAAGGTGTATAGACGAGATATGTAAACTCTGGGATGTTTCAGACATTACCTATATCTTTCCAAAGGCTATCTGGCCAAACCCAAAGACTCCTTGGCCTATAGGAGTTCTAAAAGAGTTCCGAGATATGGCTCAGAAGTACCCCAACACAGACTGCCGCCAGAGCATATCTTCGAAATTTGCTGAGCTGGTACAGGCAAGGAGACGAAGGTCTAACGCCAAATCACAGTGGTCTATAGTTGACGCAAGGACTACGCACGCATGGGCAAAAGAGCAGTATGGACTGGAAAATGCCTCTGACGCCGATGAAGACGATGAAGGCGACAGAGAGCACGCCGATACAATAGTGCTGCGATCAAGTCAGCTACCGCGGCCACAGATGCCCTTAGCGAGAACCTTACTGTTGCAGAGCAAGGCTTTGTCTAAGCATCAATCTACTATACGCACGTACTCACGTAAGCATAGTAACTAAGCGGTTGACTCAACAGCAGGGGCAAAGTGGGCAACGTTAGATCTCGTTCTACCTGCAACAGCAAGCAAAGAAGTTTATATACACAAAGCCTATATTCATAATTCAGGAATTACTCTCAAAATTCTGGCCTTACCACATATGTGGATCTGTGATAGAAGTTGCAAGTCCGAGGATGCATCTAAGAAAGGTGAATTACACTATGTACAGTTGTAAACACACCTACATGCGGTGTAAATCAGTTGTTTTACACGGAGGTGCGGTGTAATTTCACTTTGGCGGTGTTTTTAACACTGCAGCTGTACCCCAGTGAACACTGAACGAACAGGACTACGCAACGATACGAGAGGAGCCGAGGAACTGTAGTATCGATCGACCCAAGCAGTGAGGCCGCGTTGGCGATACTCAGTATGATCATCAATCTCAGTCGAGCAACTTGAGCAGTTAGGCCCGGTACGAGCAGTATACTCGGTACGGGCAGTATACTCGGTACGATCAGTATACTCGGACGATCAGTATACTCGGACGTTCAGTATATTTGGTACGATCAGTACCGAGCGATCTGAGTAATCCTCCTGCTCAAGTATATAGCAAGTAGACACGCTGCCCGTATGGCATCGTGTTTAACCTCGTCAATCAACTTTGTTATTGGAATCTCAACCCCCAGCTTCCGAGCCAGACAGTATACTCTGTACTAATCGTTGCTACCAGTCGCCACGGTCTTTGACTAAGATGACTACCCGACTATTACAAAGGCTATTACAGCCCCGACCGATAGTCACCAACCCCTGACGGCTTCTGTACCTCTGATCATTCCCGAGAACCAATCGAATAGTGTCTACGAGCTTCGCTTAGGCACGACTTCAACACACTGCTGTCAATTAGAGTTCGCACTGTGAAGATGGACTCGTCGCGCCACCAGTCGTGGTTCCTCCATATATGGAGTCTTCGTCGAATTCCGACCACGGCTCCATTCTCTCAGTCTGGAGTGATGTAAGTTCTAGCAGCCAAGGATGTTCCTGAGCAGTCTCCTTAGGAAGTCTTGGTTTTTGCAGTGTGGCCGATTACCTGTAGTGATTCTCTTGTCATCTCCATCTCTAGCACCTGTACGGTGTCCTCCTCAATCTCCTTCTGCCGCCTTCGAGTCGTGTCAAGCTGAATCTTACATAACCATACTCTTCCGGTCCCAGACCAAGACCAACTGTCTATCCTGAAACCGCTGAGCACAACGGACGATATTCCGAGAGTAGCTAGACAAGGTCGTGTGAATCACATGTTATCCATATGCCATCTGCGCTCAAAGCTAGGCTTCAATCCTGAGGACTAGGAGGCTCAGAAAAGGATGGAGGTAAGCTGTCGTGGTCAAAAAGGCCGACCTTCTTAACCCTGGAGTTCAGAAGGCTGTATACACCGTTGCATAAGCTGTAACCTGGCAGAACAGTGATCTCTATGAGGGCAGTGTTTGTTCGAGGAAACGAGCCGAATCTGTTAAAGGAGATGCGATCAAGTGTTGTACCAACATTGAGCGTCTGGAAACAGGCGTCGCTGCTCACATCCCATATCTCCACGACCTAATCCCAGGACGTTGATGCGAACCAAGCCAATGCCAGGTGCAAGAAGCTCCTGCAGCGTCCAGCCGCGTGTGAACCACTTGCTTTTTCGGAACTTTGAGTCCCATACCAGCTGGCTCGCTTCTCCCTTACCTGCAAGAGGTGAAGCAGACACGTCTGACAGGTAGACGTAGCATCGTGCTGCGTTACGGTACCAGCGGAACACGGAACCGGATGGCTAGCGAGTGCTCAGCCTTGTTCGCCTTGTTGATGCAGCAGGTATCGATCCAGAAATACTGCAAGGCGTCGCGCTTTGTCTGCTCTCCACAGAGCTGGATCTTCTTGTAGCCAGGCTTGTCTTTGCCAGCACTGCGGATTAGGTCTTCGAAGGTGACCTCAGCTTCCGCTCCCCAGGTATGAGACAGGATCGCGTAAGGAGGTAATATCGCTGTAGACTATCGTACTGAAATCCACGCTACGTCTACTACACTATTTGCAAAGAGCAGCTGTGGCGCATGACGATGAACACTCTGGCTTTTGCTGACAGGCTGCCCGCCGCCACGCCACGTTCCTGCACTGCACAGCCGCCAGTACTTGCAGATCACGCTATCAGGTAGCCAGATGTCATGATAACACTGCGGTGCCCAGCCGAGTGAGTGTACACGGGTAACGCTCCTTGACCCATGTGAAACTTTGTTTCCTCTCATACCGATCTTTGCCTCTTACTTGCGCGCACGTCTGCACTACTTTCCAGTCTTCCAGGATAAAGAGAGTCCCGGTTCTGCTCTCGCAACGTGAGCATCTGGAAATAGTGTTGGCGACAAGCGCGGCTAGTTGGGTGATCCTCTCCAAGAACAGTCTTGTACGCAACGCATGCTTGCTCGTACAGATAGCGGGAGTCATCGTAGCGGAGCTGCTTTCCAAGAGAGTAAGCCAGGCTGTACATGCTCGTCAGCGTGTGTGGGTGCTCGTCTCCCAACACCTTCTTTCTCAGCCTTAGCGTCTCGCGAT